TGAAGTAAGTCCTGACGAATGCATCCTATCGTTCAATGTTGTTGCCCTATTTTCTTCAATATCACACGACCTAGCGATTGACAGCGTAGCCGGATGTCTAGAGCAAAGTCCCATTGGCATTCCAACAGAACATGTTCTAGACATGCTTAAGCTTTGCCTCAATAATTATTGTCAGTTCGATGGCAAGTATTATCAACAAGTAAATGGCACCCCAATGGGCTCCCCAATATCGGGACTGCTTGTAGAACTAGTCTTGCAGCGACTAGAACAGGATGTTGTGCGCACCTTCGAACCAAAAATGTGGTTCCGCTACGTGGACGACACATTTGTCATCATAAAGACCAGGGAAGTTGAGCGATTGCATCAGAGCTTAAACAGCGTCTTCCCGGCTATACTGTTCACCCGCGAGGAAGCAACAGGAGATACCCTCCCGTTCTTAGATGTGAGCATACAAAGACTCCGTGATGGCAAACTAGCGACAAGCGTCCACAGAAAAGACTCTAGTGCCGAAATCATACTTAACTATGGGAGCAATCATCCTGCGGCCCATAAACGAAGCTGTGTCCGCACTCTTTTCCATCGGGCCTATCGCATCTGCAACGGTGATGATTCACTTAAGAAAGAATTGGCCTACTTACATCGGTTGTTCCGCTCCAACGGATATCCTGCCAGTTTCGTAAAGAACTGTCTCAGACGCAAGAGACAACTACCAAACCCCGAGTCTCATGAAGATAGAGCGTCGCAGAAATTCTATTCACTGCCGTACATTCAGGGAATCTCTGAAGCACTCTCCCGGCAACTAAAACGCTTTGGCATCTCCATTGCCCATAAGCCCGCATCTTCCCTACGCGAGACATTATGCCGAGTAAAGGACCCAGTGCCCAAAGAACAATTAACTAACGTCATCTACCGCATACCGTGCGCCAACTGCCCTTGTGTTTATATTGGTCATACAGGCCGATGTCTAGGGACTCGCATTAACGAATACAAGTTAGCCCTCCGCCGACGTGACCCTCTGTCCCTCGTGTTTGCGCACGCCATTGAGCATGATCACCGCTTCAATTGGGATGACACTGAAGTGATCGCAAAGGCTAACACCAGACAAGCGCGAGAATTCCTCGAAGCTTGGCATTCTGGCACGACCAGCATCAACCGCCACGTCGATTTAGACGCTCATTACGAGGGCTTACGTACACGTTCACTGTCTTGTTCCCACACCTCAACATTTGCTAACCCCCACTCGGCCACATAGACGTATGCTGTTTCGCCTTTCCGCTCCCCCTTGCGACACGGTGAACAAAAACCTAAACCCCCCTAACACCTCCAACGCCGGCAAATAGCCCTTCGATCTCATCCCGCATCAGTGACCAGCCGCCCGCATTAATGACCAGCCACCCGCATTCCCACTGACTCGCAATCCCCACCCCCCCCCTCCCCCCCACGTTTTCACCGCCTCCAACACTGAGAGCCCTAACGGTTCTTCCTACCCTTCCCCTGCCCCACGGCGTGCCACAACTAGGTGCCCACCCCTCTCACCCATCAGCTGTCTGTTTGTCGTTGTCTGTCCTGTCGCGCCAGCCGACTTAGTCTGCCGACTTCACTTTCCCTCTGTTCATTTCGTCTGACGACGGGTCGGTGTCACCGAATTGAAAATTTACGAGTACATTTCAATATTCCGAAGAGCCTTCACTTTCTCATTATATCACCTCGGAATGCACACCACATCAGTTATTCATATATATATATATATCAGCAAGGAAGGACGACAGAGAATGCGGGTAGATTGATACAGTACTGTTTCGGGCTTACTGTGCCTTCATTCAGCCAATCAGTACTGTATCATTCTACCCGCATTCTCTGTCGTCCCTCCTTGCTGCTATTATGACTTGACCGACTTCGGCCTTGTAGGTGGTTGCCTGTTCGTGACCCCTATCGTCCATAGGAAGCTTGTTTACTTCGTGAAGCCAATAGATCGGTGTGCGCCCATCCCTGATATATATATATATATCAGGTGAATAATTTCGGAAATTAATAATGCAGAACTTGGAGTTACATTTCCGGGACATGACTTTTTAGGGTCAGAACCGAAATTTCAATGAACATTTGAGTCGAAGACAATCAACTGATGTGGAATAACCACGTAATGCCTATTATACAAACAAGTAGTACTACGAGTAGTATGCATTCCATATGGTAAAGGTATTATACCGTACTCCTGATTATTCTCTGGAGTTCATATACCGGAAACCGCTAGAGAACTCTGGGGGTCCCACTGAAGAGCCGAACCCCTCGCAGCTGTGTCACGCAGCGGCAGAATATCGGCGAAACACGTGTCTGGGCTTTTAGCAAGTATCTAGGTCGGGAGTATGGTATAATACCTTTACCATATGGAATTCATACTACTCGTAGTACTACCTGTTTGTAGAATGGGCATTACGTGGTTATTGCACATTAGTTGATTGTCTTCGACTCAAATGTTCATTGAAATTCCGGTTCTGACCCTAAAAAGTCATGTCCCGGAAATTTAACTCCAAGTTCTGCATTGATTAATTTCCGAAATTATTCACCTGATTAGTCTCTGGAGTTCATATACCGGAAACCGCTAGAGAATGCTGGGTGTCCCACTGAAGAGCCGAACCCCTCGCAGCTGTGTCACGCAGCGGCAGAATATCGGCGAAACACGTGTCTGGGCTTTTAGCAAGTATCTAGATCGGGAGTACGGTATAATACCTTTAATATATATATATATATATATATATATATATATATATATATATATATATATATATATATATATATATATATATATAACTATATATTCTGACAGTGGGCGCTCACCGGGCAGGCAGGTTACGGAAAATGCTCGTTTCGTTGTAACTTCGGGCTCATACTAAAATGCTCGCAGGCAGTCGCACAGCGACTAATGGTAGATGTAGATAAAGTGTTACCGACAAAGACAAGAGAGACCGGCAGAGTGTCCAACTCCATGACGAAAGACCCCGGGTTCGAATCTCAAGTGATTTAAACTTTCGGTTGGTTATGACTGGCTGATAACGGCTAATAAGCCATTAATGGCCATTCCGATCTCCTTTGTCTTTGTCTGCTCCATATCATCTATGTCTAATAGTGGTCGCTGTGCGAATGCCTGCGAGGCGTCTAGTATGAGCCCCAAGGCACAACGGAACGAGCATGTTCCGTTGCCTGATCGGCATGCGTTTACCGTCATATTTAATATTCCCGATCACAACCGACAGGACAACGGGCCTGTGGCTCAATTGTAAAGCCTCAAACTCCATGACCAAAGATCCCGTGTTCGAATGTCAATTGACCCACACTTGGGGTTAAGAATGACTAACTGATGACGGCTAAGAAGCTAGAAATGGACATTCCGGTCTTCCTTGTCTTTTTCGGCTCCATCTCATATACATATATATATATATATATATATATATATATATATATCAGCGAGGAGGGACGACAGAGAATGCGGGTAGATTGATACAGGACTGTTTCGGGCTTATTCTGCCTTCATTCAG